TGGCGGGGGGAGAGAGAGAGAGAGAGAGAGAGAGAGAGAGAGAGAGTAAAATGGACATGAGATGAAAACTTAACAAGCTAATAAGCTTGGATTTATCTGCATTTTTTGCCACATAGGTAGTTAATATGATATGATCTGCTGCTGCTGAATTGATGAAATCTCACATTTTATAACATGTTTTTACAGATCAAGACTCAGTTTCATTGATAAAACTGTGAAGAGATGGAGCTGAGGATGAAATGGAGAGACCTGAAGGGGGAAAAGCCACCCAGAAGTTCTTTCCTCTTTTTTCCTCTTCATTTACTTGTTTCTATTTCTTTTTTTTCTTCTATTGAGATCCTTGATTCAAAATAAACTTATTTCTCATCTCTAGAAATTATCCAAAAACAGAGTAAGTCAATCCCTGTACATTCTTCCAAGTTAAGCATTTTTCATGTCAATCAAACTTGATCAACCTGGAGCATTGAACTTTACCAGCAATTCAGGTGACACAACCATCATAGAGATTTTCAAAATTCAATAAAACTGTTGGATAAGCAATTTATTACCATGTAAAAGAATACATTTCTCAAGGAAAACAAAAGACAAGAATATGGAAAACAGTACAAGCAAAACTTTCACATATAGAGTTATCCACATTATTTCCATTGAATGCTCAAGCTCACATACATAACAAAATGATATTGCCACATACAACATACAGAGGCAGCTTAGTTTAGTCAAACCTACAGAGAGCCACTTTGGATTGATAATCTCATCTCAGTGTACGACTCAAGCACAAGCGGAAATTTTTCCTCAAGAGATCACATAACCAGTTCTTGCAGAAGCATCAAACCCTCGAAATTGACTTTGCACTTATGGTAAAATCCACATTAGTTTGCGTGTACCTCTTTTCATATGTTTATGTGCAAACAAACCAAGCATCTCACTTAGATATCATGCATATTTACAGTCATCTTCTGCATGACCAAGAATTTATAGAATTGTAGCCGAGGATATGTTCAGGTGAAGAAATCTTTGCCGGAGCATGTTTAAATGTCGACATGGACACATGTGCTAGGGAAAATGTGGAAATCTGTAGCTTAAAGATGATACTCTTTAACCACTTCAAGGCTGCTCAAACAGACCAATCACGGGGAGACTCCCGAGAAGTATTGTCATCAGGCAAGAATAGGTACCGGAAACTTGGATCAAACGGGATGATACTAAAACTCTGAACATCAAGCAACCACCGCTTCTGCAGTGATGTAGAATCCCGAGAAATAATTACTTCATCGGGGGAAAGATGTTGACAAATCCAGTCGACCAACAAAGAATCCTCAACAATGCCCTTGGCAAAACAGTGCAGCAGTGTTGGCACTAGCAGTTTTCCCTTTTCACCAATACCTATTGATGCTTGAATATAGTCCTTCTTGGAGTTCTGAAGCTCATCTTGAATGTTATCAGGTGTGAAGACCCTTACCTGCATCATGCTTGATGGATGTCATATATATAACCTACTAGAGCAACAATATTCTACATATCAATCTTAGTCTAAATTGCAGATCTGCTTTAGATAAAACAGTGCATACCCAATTTGTGTATATGGTTTTTGTATATATAAGAAGTTTCCAGTGAGTATCAATTTGCATAGATCTTGTTACCGATGCAAAACTACTGGAGCAAGATCTTCTTTCTTATAGGTCACAATCACATACACTAAAGTAACAATTTAGAGATGCTGGTTGCTTAATAGTAATATAGTTTCCCAATTTTCCATCCAAAAAACAGTCAGATTAAGAAGCTCACCGCAGGTGAGGAATACATCCCGCTGCTAAGGGCAAATAGCAGCAGAGGCTCAAGTCTGTCAATGGAATACTTTCTATGCTCTTCAGAAATCTTAAATCTGTGAACAGCCAATAACAATCCCTGAAAAAAAAAAGCAGATTTAGTAGTTATGCTGGTGGATAAATAAAGGAACAAGCAATATATATTTCATTTGTTACATACTAGCCGTGGACGATGTGCTGGAGGTTTCATCTTTAAAATGACAAATTCAATCTCAGCTGCACTGAATGAATGGCCACCAACTATATAAGATGCCTGCAACACACCACATGTTGGTTTTAATATATACAGCAAAAATGATAGGAAGCATGAAAACTGTGAATCCAAACATTCTGCATGAGGGAAAATAGCTTGATGTCGCTTCTAGGAACTCCATATGCTAAATAGGCCTGCACTTTTAAGCAACAGAAGTTATATTTCTAGTTCTTGAAGAAATCATTCAAAGGTGTACAGTTGATCCTCAGTTTCTTGAAGAAATCAATCAATTTTAAGTCTGTCACTTCATACTAATCCTCAGTTTATTGTTGGCATAATAATCTATTAGCAGTTGCAATGATACTGATATTGATTGGTGGGGAACTTACATGCATTGTCAAGGCATTATACACATTGACCCAAAAGGAAAGCCTCTCATTCCCACCCATACAAGCTGGATTAACCTTTGCCAATTGCTCAACAAGAAATCTAAGAAAGACAGGCTAAGAAGCTATAGTCATCACAAGTTTTCACTATTTAGCATCTTATCTGAAACCGATAGTAGACAAAGTGCCATTTATGATATTGGGATGAGTTCTGCAAAAATTCTAAGCATGTTCCTTGCATTTTAGAAAAAAGTTGGAATCACCAGACCAAGAAAGAGCTGCAGGTCGAAGCCAGTTTGCCAGAATATACTCCAAATTAAGCAATAACATGAGAACTAAAAAGGAAGAAATTAAAAGACATCATGGCTTCTTGAGAAGTGCAATGTGAGCTTAACACTTGGAGATATCTTAACCAAGACATACCAAAAAAGTTTGATACTTTTTGCTGAAAGTGCCACTGTTAATAAAGTAGATTTAAGTTATCAACTAATAACACAAACTCTAATGCTGCACTAATTCTCAATAATACATTTTAGTGATTAGTTGAACATCCTTTTACATGACCATTGGAAATGAGAATTTTCAGAATATATTACATCAACCCCTATGGTAAAGTTGTTCTTGTTTCATAAAGCTTATAGTGGAAATGGTTGATTGTATTCATCCAAGCACCATGCATGTACTTAACAAACTATTGTCAGTGGTTTATCAAACACTTTGAAACATTTCATTTCCATATATTAAAAGACTCTGGTGTTCTTGTTACAAGTGTATGTAAACTTACTCTGAAGAAGACTTATTTAACAAACATTGCCTCACTTTATTCTTATCACACTTGTCACTAACTTCAAAAGTTTAGCACGTTAGATCATAAGTCAAATGTGGAAACTATTTAAAGATAGGATGGTCATGTAAATATGGATTAATGACCTACTGCCCATGTGTCAACGTTTTTATTGACCTCAACTTACAAACACCGGTAACATATTCTAGACAATGTAGCTAGTAGACCCACTCTATACAAATTAGCTAGTAGTCTACTCTATTGATCAAACTATCCATGCACCCTGATCTGGAAGATACTTGATAAATTGGAAATTATATTTTTCATATAAAGATTGGATGATCAAAGGACAATCTACCTTTAGAAAAACAAAAACAAGTTCTGTTAGTTCAGAGAACTCTAATTAAATATCTAAATCATATTAATGCCAAAAAATAAAGTTAGTTGCCAATAAGAACAAATGATGAAAGGAGCATGCAAAAAATCCTACTTGCAGAGACAAAACCAGCTTGAGATATGTTAAATAATTCAGCTTCTATGATGCTAAAAGTCTGACAATATGCCAACTGTCAACATGTAACACGACTTGTCTGCATCAGTATAAATATGAAGTATGTATATAGATGATTACATGGCATAGGTTCCTTTTAAGATTGGAAGTAAGCAAGACATCATACCTATAACCTTTTAGAGCCTCAGAAGCATATTCTAGCTCTGCCTTCCCGACAGACATCCATGATACTTCAGCTGCCAAACGATACGTTCCAATATTCCTGCTTTGCACCTTGCCATTAACTCCATAAGGATCAAATCCATCCACTTGATCCATTACCTCATCAGTTTTATGTGTTCCATTTAGAGGATTTCGAAAAGGTGAGGATATTAAGGATGAATCAGAAAAGGATGTGATTGAAGAAAAAGACCGCTGGTCATTTGGTGATGATTGAGAAGGCAAACAATCTAAAGAAGATGCCTTTGAACATCTGTCTGATGATTCAGATAGACAAAGAAAGATATTTCTCATGCATCTCACCATTTCTTCTGAAAGCTGGTTTGGATTATTACATAAGTTCCTTTGTAAGAGATCCTTCTTCAATTCCGCTGCATCAGACTGTTGAAGACAGACATCCATTTTGTTCCCTTCGTCAACCCTGTTGCATGATCCTAACAACTGAGCAGAAAGAAAGATATGATTTTGGTTAAGGGTTAACACATCACATGTATTGTTAGTATCAAGGAAAAAAATGACAAAGTCCATTCACAAAAAAACAAGCATTTAAAAGCCAGACAGAAAGAAGACTGTATAAATGAAACCTCTTCCTAAGGGCATTCAGCTAAAGATATGTTTGCCGCAGCAAACTCTGAATCTCCACGAGATACTAGATCTTGTTGCAATGAGCTAGGTATTTGATTTAGTTCAAACTTTAAAACCCTCAAAGAAGATAAGCACTGGAAGGGACAAAGTAGAAACTATGAGCAATCAGTAGGTGAGACAGACTGAAGGAACTGAAGAAAGAACACCAGGTACCTCTTCCCACAAGCAACTGGAAGATGTAGGTGATTCTGGTGAAAATGATGGAAAATATTCTAGATGGTTTTCAGCAAGATGGCGTTCAGTCCTTTCTTGACAATGCTGAAGCTGCAAAGAAGCCAACTCCTCTTCAAGCTTAGAAACTGTAGTCTCCAGTGTTCCTATATCATGTAGAAGCTCCCGAGCCTAAACAATTTTTAATGATCAAAGAATTATTAGTATTGCAATTACTCAAACATATGAGTAATATCAAAAGCCCATGTACTTCATACTCTATCTGGAAGACTGGAAGGAGAGTTCAAAAAAGGGACAGCATTATGTGCTACTGCATATGCTAAAGCCACATGCACATCAATCTCTTCCTGCAGTTGCTGCTGCAATCTCTGAACCTGCAAAGTTGTTTTAGAAACTGAATGCAGATTAACACACGAGTATCACAATAAAGAAAAAGAGAATATATGCACGGACTGGAAAATAGATGGTTCAAGTAGGATATTGAAAATATATATCCTACACTTTCAATCCCTTATCGACTGCTTCTGTGACTTAGTAATGACAATTAACCATTTTAGCAACAAAAAAATGTGATGGAAGATTGTGTCTAGGATAGAGTAAATGGAGGGTAAGTGTCACCATTGTGAAAACTCCAAGATGTTTCACACACTAAATCTTGATGA